CCTTCCTTCCTTCCTTCCTTCCTTCCTTCCTTCCTTCCTTCCTGTTCATCTCAGTGAAGTTTTAAAATGAAATGCTATGGCACCACATCTTCTACATGAGACCCAGTGCTCCAAGTGTGCTCTGTCCATAGACTTATGATTAGTTGCTGTGTTTTCAGTTCTCTTCCTAATAAATCCAGCCTTGGAATTTGCCTGGATTGAAATTTTCATTGAGCTATCCACAAAAATTCCAAGATCCCTTTCCTAATCAGTCACTGCCTGCTCAGTTCTCATTAATGTCTGTATGACATTCAGATTTTTTATGCCAAGGTGTATTACTGTGTTCTTGCTTACACTGAATTGCATGTATCATTTTAAGGCCAATTATCTAGGTTGGAGATATTTTTTTGGAACTTTTTGAATCCATTTTTTATTTTATTACTTGGACCAGTTTGGTGAAACATCAGATTTGGCCTTCTCATTCCTTACTTCTAAGACCTATTGATGATTAGAAAATTAAAATGTAGCAGTCCCAACACTAGCTGGGGATCTCATTTTGAAGATCTTTCCAATGTGAAGATTGTTCATTTATTCCTACTCTATTTTCTGTTCAGTTACCATTACAACATCTGTCCTCTTATGGTGTAGATGTTAAGGGTGCTCAGGAGCCTTTGGTAAGGGTCTGCATGAAAATTTTTTGAAAATCTATCAGAACCCTCTTTTCTACATGTTAATTGACACCCTCAAAGAAATCTAGGTGGTTAGTGAGAGAATTTCCGCACTGATGGATAGTGAGATCATATACTACACTGTCCTTATGATACAGAAAATGCATTTCTTCAGATGATAGTTGAGAAGAATCTGTACTGACTTTCAACAAAAACTCTCCAGAAGAGTTTTTCTTTCATTCTTAAATTAGCTTTTCTTTGAATTCTTGCTAGAAAGCCTTTGTTATTCTATGGATGTTCCATAACTATGATTATAATAGAAATAATACAAAAACATGGAAATTTAACCTAGCATTATCTCTCCCCACCCCCAAGCACCTATGCTTTAAACTTGAGCTATGAAATATTCTTTTTCTCCCCTGCTCTAAGTAGGAAGGTGGGACTATGGTCAAATTAGCTTCTTCCAGCTACATGATTCTGTTACTCTCTTCTGCTCTGCCATGCTACCCACCTTCCAAATCTGCTGCAGAGGAGCAGTGTAGTGGGAATGAGGGGTCATTACCTTCTCTCTCTGCTCCTGGCATTCCACCACTAGAGAGGTTTTAACTGGAATCTGTTATTTATATGCATTATGATGTGTGATGTGTTTCAGGTCCTGGCATATTCCTGTGTCTACAGCTACTATAATCAAGACACGGAAAAAATGGATATAATGGAGCAACAATCTGAGAATCTGGAGCTGCATACTAATGCTCTGCAGATCCTTTTGGGTGAGCCATTACTGCCATGCAAATAACTCCTACTGCTTTAAGACAGGTTCAGAGAATACTGGCAATATTTGTAATATAGAGAGCATCAACTATCATAATAGTGTTTCATTATTATTGCCAATACAGATCACCTATGCCTGCAAGTTGTTCAAAATGCTGAGACAATTGTAATTACTGTGAGTTGATTATTTCTTCTGCACTTCTTTTTGTATCTTCATTATGGTGGCCAAGAAGACTTGTGTTTTATTCAATAAATGGTAAAGGCTGAGGAAGGTGGACATATGGATTATTTATGGATAAATTCTTAGTATCCAAACTAGAAAAATTGGGATAAGTGGAAATTTAATCATTTTGCATAGTTCTTCTAAATTGATCTAAAATTCATTGTAAGTGAAGTAGAATGAAAACTCTGTTTGCAACTTAGGACAATTTTGCTAATTCACCTTTACCCTTTAGATTGTTAGTATTTAGACTGCAGCTTTACTTTTTTTAAAAATAGTGAAATATCCCCCCCCCCAAAGTCTATATCACCAACAACAAAAAGGATAAAAGTGTTCATACAGTTAAGAAAAGCCAATATTATAGTGATTAATGATTAAAATAAATTAAATTTGACAAAATGAAAACTAATAGGAAAACATCCATATAATAATTATAAATAAATAACTATAGATAATAAATATTTTCAGTTATTAAGCTTATTAAATCTGGACCATATAGCACTATAGTGTGCCATCATCTGATTTTTAGAATGCAGACTTTTCAAAATTAATTAAACGCATATCCTGGATCCATTCCTTAAAATCAGGAAAGTAAGTTTCTTTCCAATTGCATAAAATTATCCTCTTTGCCGTATTGTTTTTTTACAAAAATGTATTGCAATTTTCTAAAAAATATACATAGAAAAACAATATAAAATAACAAAAAGGGTAATATCTAACAAATTAGTTATAAAATAGTAATACCAAAACAAACAAACAGAAAAGGTTAAGCAAATAAACAGAAAAAGAACCCTCCCAAATTAATATACTAAATTAATACAAATCACCTAAATATATCACATATTCACTCAATCATGTAATAACAATATATCAAATTGTGCATAGGAATTTGTCTTTTCTTGAAAAATATGAAACTATGCTAAAGGGAAAACATACAATTTTTTAATTAGTAGAAAAAAATAGCCATTGCAAAAATAGATAAATACACATTTCTTGAATCCAGTCTTTGATGTCTGGGATAACAGTATTTTTCCAGTCTCTCAATATAATTCTCTTGGCTATTCCCGTGGCCAATATAATCAGTGCTCCCCAAAAATGGCCAGATTCCACAATTTTGGAATAATACTAGACAACCCGTGACCCGGTGGGTCATTGTTTCAGAGATATTTCTTTACCTACAGAGAAACAGAATGACCAGGGGCAAAAAAGCAGTGGAAGTGTGAGCGACTTACGACTTGCTGCTGGCTTCCCCATTGACTTTACTTGTGGGAAGCTGGCAAGGAGCATCAGAAATCTTCCTTCCTTCCTTCCTTCCTTCCTTCCTTCCTTCCTTCCTTCCTTCCTTCCTTCCTTCCTTCCTACCTACCTACCTACCTACCTACCTACCTACCGGTTGAATGGCCTGTAGTACGCACCCACAAAAGTGTCATTATTGTTTCTTTTCCCTTATATTTATTCAGATGCTTTCAGCAGGGTTTTTACCTTGATGTCATGAATTTCCATACAGGTGTAGTCATTCTATACATATAATACCATTCCCTCCCTTTTATTGCATTTGTTTCATTTGAACAAATTATATGTTTCCAGTACTTCCAGTTATGAGTTCAATCCCATCAGGTTTCAGTAGTACTAAGTCATATTTGCCACCTGTAATGTGACTTAGTCCCCCCTGTTTGTTCCCATACATTGAGCATTGGTGTACAGACATCTGAGCCCTTTAGTGCAGCCCTTTTAAATTTGTCTACTACATCTTCTGGGGCATTTCTAAGCACTGCTTCCTTTTGCTATGACAATCAAATATCTTCAAACAAAGAATAGTTATGCTTCATTTTCTAAACATTCTTGAACCATTTCTTTATTTATACATTTATTAAATAAAATAATTTAATTTGACCCTGATAGACAAACTTCTATATGAGATGACAAATTCCATACTTTTAAGAATATAATTTAGCATCACATTCAGACTTTATAAGATTTCTTCCTGAGATTATATTAACATATGTTTTTAAGATAAAACAAGGCTGTAACAGAACACCACCAAATGATATGAGTTAAAAAAAATGTTAACATTTCTTACATATTTATTTTTTT